ACTGACACAGAAACGACCTCAACAGACCAAATACACTTGCAATGAACGACACAAACATTGTACTACATTGACTAGTTCACTTTGTAAGGGCCCATAGTTGAAAAGTTATTCAGACTTGGAACTCCGTGACAAGCCCTCGTATTGATGCTAGAACATTTAGCAGATAGATATGTCACCCGATAACTAAGTTAACAGTGCGTCTGTGATCTTGGCCCAGTTCTTCAACCAGTGTTCTCTTCATTCGTGGCGTAAAGATGGCTGTGAATTCCGGAAATCAGACGTATATATGACTTCAAGGACTATTTAATGACAGGTATGGTCAATGCGAAGTCTTATTCAGTAAATGTAATTTTGATAAAATAAAACGCACCAACAGGCATACTGTTTATAACACTCGACCACTCGTGAACCGAATTTTGCGTTCATTCGTTCATGACATGCAACCATCACCGATATGAATTATAACACGACATTATTTACATGACTGACTTTAAAATGTCATAACTGATACATAAATGTACAATGTGCACACATATTGATGATGTAGATAAAGTATGACGCTGGAGTGACATTTGTCAAGTTATCGCCACATACCGACAGATAAGTAATGCAAAACAGACACGATAATTACAAAAGCAGACAATAGGTAGACATTAAGAATTACTAACTTCTATGTAAATATGAGGGTCAGACCTGCTTATTAGCATTTACCTTTTCCAAAACCTAATTGGAAGCTTCAGTTCTTCCGTACATGCCGTCCTCCCATTCCGTAGCCTCCGTACAGTCCACCCAATCCGTAGCCTCCGTAGAGTGCTCCCAATCCGTAGCCTCCATTCAGACCACCTTTACCGTAGTCCCCTTACATTCCTCCCATTACGTAGCATCCGTACATTCATCCCAATCCGTAGCCTCCGTACAGGATACCCTTTCCGTAACTTACGTACAGTACTCCCAATTTGTAGCCTCCATTCAGGCCACCCTTTCCATAGCCCCCACACAGTCCTCACAATACGTAGCATCCGTACAGGCCTCCCCTTCCGTAGCCTTCGCACAATCCCCCCGATCCGTAGCTTCCATACAGGCCACCATTTCCGTAGCCTCAGTACAGACCAGCCTTTCGTAGCCTTAGTACAAGCCACCCATTCCGTAGTCTCCGTGTAGACTACCCATCCATAGCCTCCGTACAGTCCTCTCAATCCATAGCGTCAGTAGAGTCCACCCAATCTGTAACATCCGTACAGGCCACCATTTCCGTAGCCTCAGTACAGACCATCCTTTCGTAGCCTCAGTACAGACCACTCTTTCCGTAGCCTCCGTACAATTCACCCATTCCGTTGCCTCCGTATAGTCCTCGCAACCTATAGCCCCATTACAGTCTTCCCAATCTGTAGCCTCCGTAAAGATCAACATTTTACGCAGCCTCGCCGTAGCCTCCGTAAGTCCTCCCAATCCGTACAGGCTATCCTTTCCGTAGCCTTCATACAGGCCACCATTTCGTTGCTTCCTTACAGTCCTCCCAATCCGTTCAGGCCACCTTTTCCGTAGCATCCGTACAGTCCTCCCATTCCTTAGCCCCCGTACAGGCCATAGTTCAAACGCTCAGCTGGCGACAGCCAAGCAGGCAACGAGGGCGATAACTATCATTTTAAAAGGATGAACATATTTTTTTATTGATACAGGCTACATGCGGTTGTTACATTGTCGATGAAAAAACACCAGATCGATCATAATATAATTATACCAGCTTGTGATCGCTGTTGACCACTTTCAAATATGTGGCATTAAATAGCTTTATGAGGTATGTGTTGTGAGATCAATACAGAGTTCATAGATCTTAAAACATGAAACATGTCTAGAGGATTCAACGTTAATAGGAACAGGCTAAATATCCCATAAAAGACAAGAGAAGATGTCTTTAAATTCTTATAGATCATATATCGACTATTATTTGCATATGTACTCTTAAGACAAAGTAGGGTATCATGACATATAAACGTTATCACCAAGTATTGGAACAAAGATGAGTTGACGACAAACAACCAATGCAAGAACCTTTATGTCTGTAAAACGTAACACCTGCATGCTGGAAAATGGGAGAAGACAGGGTCCAGTGGCCAATACGTTCAATGTTTCACAGACTATGGAACAGGTACCAAGAAACCCAAAATGTTGAAGAAATTTTATGTGTATGGGTGCGGACAAATAAACCCTGACAAACACCCCGTGGTGCATGCAGAATATAGACGTGGTATCGTTACAAATTAAGACACCAGTATTATGTGCAAGGGGGAATACTATCAGTTATGGTGTCTTTAGTTGCCGTATACGCTGTCATATTAGATCAGCAGAAACCAATTTGGCTGAGGCGTGAGCCGAGCCCAATATGTATTCTGCTAACCGTATGACACCGTATACGGCATCTAAAGACACCATAAAAAAATTATTATGCCGAAAAGTTTACACTACTTGCGGGGCACGGGTGGCCCAGTCGTCTAAGGAGCCGCGATTAGCTGTGCAGAGTTGCGTCCCTTGGGCACGCCAGAAACCTATGATTGTGGGTTCGAATCCCGGCTCGTCCCGATTATGTTTCTAGGTTTTTTAGCACCATACCCGTGCTTGTGGGTTTCACCGAAATGGTAAACGTCTGAGACCTGCATCAATTCTGGCTTACCTCCCACATTAACCTGACACGCCGTGATATAACTGAAATACTGTTAAAAGCGGCGTTGAACCCAATTCACTCAAAACACTCTTTGGTATCTTTATCGCGCATATGTCATGTCAAAATGAACATTTGACACTTACAACAGGTACTGACAGGACCAGTACATCTGTTCCGATACAACGCTTTAATGTAAACACAAACTTTAACAATGGAATGTATAATGTGTGTAATAAATGTGAACGTTTAAACAGGTATTATAGCTAAAATAGATAGAATTATCACAAATATGCCCGCATTTTATCAGAAATCTGGAGGCTACTGTAAATTGATAGCAGTCCGTTTTTCCCTGACCACAGGCTGCTATCTTTTCTCTTACCATGTGACGTCATTGGCGTCACGTTTCTTGTTTATGACGTCATCTTATATTATGTTCTATGACGTTCCTATTTGTAATTCAGTGACCTCCGCTGTGGGCCTTTTTTTCTCTATACTTTTATTAAAAAAGTGGTTTCTTTAACAAATAATGTCTTTGCACATCACAATTAATGGTATTATAAAAATAGCGTCGAATAACGATTTTCTGTACCAGAATTGTCATGTGAAATATGTGACGTCGGTATTGGAAAATCCAAGATGGCTGTCACTGACGGTAGACGGTCTCATATTAGGTCAGTAACAACGTCTGGGATTTTTACTGACGGTAAACGGGTTCATATGGGGATAGTAGTTTTGCTTTCTGATTGATCAGTGATCTCACTTTGAGGCATAATAAATGAAGTTAAACCAGACACTTGAAAATTAAACTGGACTCCGTTTAATATTGGAACCACACAAACATGATGTGTCTTGGAATGTGGTGTGAAGGTATCCTTTAGTCAGACATGCCAGTAGTCAGGCAGCTTAAAACAACAATATTAATAAAGGGATGACTGCATTGTAAATCTGCTTTTGACTTTGTTTCTAAGGGTGTATGTTTCCCTAATTTGCAAAGATATATATGGTGGTATTGTGTGACATTGTATCGATATTGGCGTTTGAATATATTTACGAATTTTCATGACTTTAATTAATTGTTATTACCATCGCTCGTAACATGGTAATAAAGCCACAGTAAACATAATATCTTTGTTTGTCCACTAAAAACTAGTCTTATCTTATTACAGAGCTTGGGATAACATTCTTGCAGTGCAGGTGTAACATTCATTTTACTATTCCATTTTAGAATAGTATCTTAAAACTCAATTTAAACGTCAACCCCGAAGTGCTAGCACAAGCAAAGATACCATCAACAGACAAAGATGCTGTTCAATGATAAAAAAAACGTTTAGATCACCTTTCTAATGCATGTCATTTCTGAAAGCATTTCACTTTAAGAAGAAAACAGTTGATCGTCTAACACATGCATCATCTGAAACAAGATATATGTGTTGCTGTCAACATTTCTGATCAATGTATGATAGTGATTCATAAACACATGCTCATATGGTCGGAATCGTTTAACCGATTCTGCTTTTAGCAGAGATTGCTATTGAATATGGAAAGTGTTTTGTCGCTTTTATTTATTGGGATGTTACATTTTGGTGTATTGGAGTAAAAGGTATATCTAGGTTAAGCGCTGCACATTTTCTATGTAAAACTATTGTTTCCTAAGGATACTGGAATGCTCTTTCCCCCCATTGTGTATTGCGATCCCAGATTCTCCTTAATTCTGATCCATGGTTTGTGACACAATATCAGTGGTCCTGGGTGTTCTCCATAGGGGTAAACGTGTATATCCTGCTTCGCATTGAGCTGACATGCCGTAGTATTATTCCCCAGGTGGATGAGAATGAAATTCGAGTTCACACTGATCGACTGACGGGGAAACTATTGTCAATAATGCTACCATCACCGCAACACGCCCAAGTCATATTCTTTCTGAATGTGTCGATTCTTTACATTACAAGTATGAATTCATCCATTGTGTGTTAAATGTAATGTAGGCTACAATGAATAATAGATAATGGAAGTTTACTGACAATTATTATTATTACCATAAATAAACTTCTGTTGCCACATAAACTGCCCCGCAAAAGTATACATCCTTGACTGATGGTGGCTAAACATGAAACAAGAGAAGGTTATTCGACGTTAGATGTACATGTATCATATCAATGAGTATCTAACACAAAATCTCAGAGGCAATTTCACAGTACACAGTACACAATGATGAGCAGAGTAAAGCAGATATTGTCATGATCAGTTTGTGTTGGTCCACAGGTATAAGACATTCTCAATGGCGAATGTGGCTACCACGAGCACCCAGTGCACGCCCAGATTCGCCTTCTCATCGTTGTCAGCCGACAGATGATGTCATTGGGAATCCGTTCTGAGCGGTGTCCAGCTGTTGACGGATTTGTGGAGGACGCCTCCTGATCAGATGATGCTACAAATGTTCAATGGGGTTTAAATCTGACGAGCGAGCTGACCATGGATGAACGGTGATTTTGTGCGCAGCCAAGAATTCCTGGACGACACTTGCAGTGTGCGGCCTAGCGTTGTCGTACTGTTCCGTGTTGCTGTTTGCGAAGGAAATGGCAACACTACGCACTACTGGCTGGTGAACGTCATCCCTGTAGATCGGGCCGTTGACAAGTCTCGTCCGTTGGTTGTCACGAATTTTCCTCCCTAAACCATCACCCCACCACCACCATATGGATGCACACCCAAAATGCAGCCTTGTGCCAGTCGTTCCTACAACAATTAACCCGAGCACGACCATCGTATGGAATATTATAAGCAGAATCTACTTTCGTGTGTAAAAAGCACTCTTTGCACGTCACGGATCTGTTAGCATTATACTATCTTTGCCCAGTGTAGTCTTCAAAGTTAGTGTTCACTGGGCAAGGTCATAATGCATATGTCTGCAGGGCTTAACAATCTGAGACAGATTGAGTGAGTGAGTGAGTATGGTTTTACGCCGCTTTTAGAATTTTCCCGCAATATCACGACGGGGAACACCAGAAATGAGCTTTACACATTGTACCCATGTGGGGAATCCAACCCGGGTCTTCGGCTTGACGAGCGAACGCTTTAACCACAAGGCTTCCCGACTACCCCTGTTTCGGAACAGATTCCCTCATTAAAGAAATATTGTCTATCCGGGTTCTTATTTTTACATTTTCTTGTTTCCTGACTCCGTGTCTACACCATAACCGTTAGATTTTAAACATTCATTCAGAGTGTTCATCTTATCCTCCCATTGAATCAGTCTTGCAACAACTGTCGTGGTTTATCCGGTGTCTGATGTCCGATTCGATGTGCCCGTTCCATATCCTTCAATGTCAATAGGATCACATAGTTATTTTCTGACTGAATGAATAACATCAGTTTTGTACTTAAATGTATTATAGGATTCGTTCGTACTTTCTGGAATACCATAGATGATGTGGGTTCTCCTGCTCTGTCTTTTTTAAGTCCTCCACACGGTTTTCTGGTTCTCTGAACTCATTCGTAACATACTCCCCATTTTCATGAACCGCTTCAACATCCAATCGGATTATATTCTGTTCTTTCCTTGTGATAATTTTGTCTTTTGTAGTTTGTTGATGTCGCACCTTCTCTCCACAGGCCCCTGAAGCAGGATAGGGATATAACTGAAACAGTGGACCCATATATATAAATAGACAAGGTACGTCACTCGCCATCTTGGCCGAAGTTGAAATCGGCTGTATCGTTTAAATTAAATGGAAATGTGTGCATGTCATGTTCACAATACCTCCCCACAGCCCTCCAAATACGACCTGCATGCAACAAACCTTCAATTTTGGCAATTTATTACCTATATCGGGTGATTTTATCGAAATATTGGCTCAGTCGCGGCTGTGGGTCACGGAAGTATACAAAAATCTCCGCACTCAATGGCGTCGAGTGCTGTGATTGGTCCGCGCTCCAACCATAACAAACACACATGGGGATATTTACCAATCAGAGCGCTCAGGGACATTGAGCCGCGACTGAGCCAATATTTCGATAAAATCACCCGATATAGGTAATAAATTGCCAAAAATGAAGGTTTGTGGCATGAAGGTCATATTTGGAGGGCTGTGGGGAGGTATTGCGAACAGGTATGACGGCGGTCTGTAAATAATCGAGTCTGGACCAGACAATCCAGTGATTAATATCATGATCATCGATCCACGCAATTGGGATCGATGACATGCATCAACCAAGTCAGCGAGCCTGACCACCCGATCCCGTTAGTCGCCTTTTACGACAAGCATAGTCACCTTTTACGGCAAGCATGGGTTGCTGAAGACCTATTTAACCCCGGATCTTCACGGGTCCCTCATTATAGCTGTTCGGTTTTCGATATGTAGACAATGGGAACCTTTTGTAATCAGTGACACAAAGCTAATATTCATATCAAAGACTGGAAACTATGTCTTGTATACACTGCATGATCCGAGACATTTGCATGCCTCAACTGAGTAGTAATACTGCACGAAGTAGAAGCCGGTAAGCCATGTCTGTGCCATTCGTCCATGTTGATGCTGGGTATTAGGGTTGAAGATGTTCGATCTGCCTGTGCCCTAGGAGGTGAGTATAACAGCCGATCCTCGCTCTCCAGATGTCGACCGTGGTACTCATGTTTGCTGGGAGGTAGTTGGGAACGAAGACAATCTTAACTTGAAATATTTACACAGAAGTGTCAGCGATTTTAACGTACAACCACATTTCTTTATTTGTTCAGTATATTACAACCACCTCACATTAATGTGAGATTAAGTACACTCGAGCGATATACACTCGGCAGTAGATTAGATCTACTTTTGTTTGCTTCCTAAGTGGCAAAGATATGTTGGTATCGTGTACAATTGTATGTATGTGATTTTTGTCATTTTGGCGTTTGTGATTATTCCTGAAGTATCAGGAAGAAAAAATGATTGCTATTATAACAAATCGTAACATGGTAATATATGTGTTGTTACATTTATCAATCAATAAAAAAACTTCTTATAGCTGACAGCGAAATCTTGTTTTTCAAGTGCATTTATCAACAGTTACTGCACACAACTATTTGCTTGTTCTGTTTGAAAAAATATCTTATACATGTTATTCGATTCTTAATGACATTCAATGAGAAATCTAAGCTCGTACATGTAAGACGGAAAAAGTAAAAACAAAAACATCACCACACAGACAAAAAAGCTTTTAGACAATAAAAAGTGGTTTCGTTGCTTGGATCAACTTTCTGAAAGCATTTCACTTTAAGTGTGTTAAAGAACTACATTTTTTCCGTCTCACAACGCATTCATCTAAGACTTACCAAGACACCTGTACCGCTGTCAACATATTTTTACATGCGCACGAAGAGTGGCATATGGAGTACAGGCATATCCTCAAGACAAGGAACCTGAATTAACAGTCAGTCTAATCCCACCATAAAAAATATCTCAGCTGACAAACTGTCGAAGCTAAAATGAAAACCATGAGGCATTAATAACGCATCGTCAGTAACTGGTATCAAATTCCAGTTTGAGGTCGTTTGTGGTTTTCTCAGGTGATTCCTTTCAGATGTTACATGAGGCAGGAAATGGTCACTGTCTATGATTATTATAATACGTTAGAGGAGGCAGAAGCGGGCATAATGGTCGCTGGTCTAGTGGTTTAATTCCCAAATAATCAGAATCTGGCCCGTCTCAGTTTTTACTACGTCTCTAAAACCTGAACACATGTTCTGTACAGAATTCCAAAGCTCCATAAAAGTCCATACAAAAATATATATTAAAGGGTCCGGTAAATGACCCACCAAACCTCTGTCTCAAAGATTAACCATACTACTTTGAAGGAAGGAACATTTCTTTTTAACATTGGATTCTTGTGCGAATACATATCTGTTCTGACTGGTTTCAATTTGGAAGTTGACACGTAGCACTTCATGTTCATAAAGGTGTTCGAGACAAGTGGAATTAATACATGTAGCATGAGGATTCTTAAAACCACAATCCTATACGACGAACTTAAGGAAAAACGTCATTCCATTTGTCACACAAGTATCGTTACATCACTATCTTCAAAGGTTCAGTGAGTCAAAAATGAAATGTCATCTGAAGTTTTCTGAGAAAACAATATGCGAAATGCTGGACTTCCTCTTATATAACCTGTTTGTAAAATTTGGGCATAGGTAATTTAAACTTGAAGTACATGTTGGCATCCCCATGGACACCAATTGTGCTCCTCTCCTTGCTGATCTGATGTTACTAAATAACTGTCAGATAGCCAATTCCCACGAAAACCTAATGGTGCCATTTTGTGAGCATTGATTTTTTAAAATCATTCCTCATTATTTCAATTATGTTCTGCCATGCTTGACATATAGTCGAAAACGTACAATGGACACTGTTTGACGAGAAACAGACGAACGTTGATGGAATAGCCTGAGATAAATTGTTCAGGCGTAATTTCAGGAAAGCTGTAGTTTATTCCGCAAAACATACATTTACATTACATGCTCCAGGTAAGACGTTTCATTTTGATTAAATTATTTCAATTAACTTTTCACTATAATTGCAGGGTAACAATTTTGATATTAAAAGTCGTACCGGAAGAAACAACCATTGTGTTTAGTACGTTAGTCGCGTTGCCTTATGACGGAAAGTAGTACGTCGAAAGAAAATGCTATCGCAAAATATACCTCGATGTTTCACTTCAGCACTTAACTGTATTACGGGTTGAATACATCATAACGGTCTATGGCATAACTGCAAACTATCGCACAGGCATATTATTTTTCAAGGCCATAACAATTCATTTTATGTAATTGATGTACGTATTCTTTATTAAATGAAAAATAACCAGCCAAACTGGTTAGTTTTAGATATTGATAAACGAAAAAATAAAATAAAATAAGAAAAATTAATGATAGAAGATAATCTTGGTTAAAAGTTCACGAACATGTATGTTGCTCTTGTGGCCATGATTACCTTTACCACCCGACGGTCTCACTCACAAAGAGATATCAATATGTTTAAGCAAATTTATTTCCAGATTTGACGATAGCCATTCTGAGTCAAGGGCATATGAAAAGAGCCGTTTTGCCTTAATTTAAAACAAAACTCTGTAAACATGACATATGATCAGAGAACAAGAATACCTTATTCTTCAGAGGTCTTAGTAAGTGTCGTGACACCACACCTTCCTGCAGTACTGTAGCTTCATACAGGACTCCGTAATATCAACAACAATGGCAATGCGTTTTCGGTGAACAAATGTCTCTATTCTTGTAGATAATCAGGCATGGCAAATGATCATGTCTTATCTATAACTCACCAAAGCCAGAAAATTACACAGGATAAGGTAATGAGACCTCAATATATATCGTATCCGCCAAGAACCACCTGGCACCATCAACATACATTCTATGAACGCATCACACGTTGGGCTTGTAGTACATGTGAAACTGGTATATTGTCTGTGGTTCAGGATGACGGTATCGTACGCAGCGATCCAACTCGTCCCATGCATGTTCTATCGAGTATAAATCTGACCTACACGCAAACTTACTGAGACCGCTTATTGGCCCGAGAGCCTAGTTCCCATTTAACAATAATAATAAACTAATTATGTCGTTAAGGGCTGTCCCTCGGTAAATTCTCCTCGTGTTCCATATATACCTGCTGAAAACTAAACCTTTTTGTACATAACCAATACCTCACTTTTTGTTGCTGCCATTATCGTGAAATGGTATTTCTATCCTACAAGTTATCCTCTTCAATTGTAGGTTCCTACTTTACTCCCCTTGGATAACGTAAATTGATTTATCTATGCACTGGATGCGGCCAGCTATCCAGATGTCCTGGCCTCCGTTATATAGCTGGAACATTGCTGACTGTTGCGTTAAACATCTAACTAAACCCAATAAAACCTTCGTGGACTTGGCGATAACAAAACCACATCGTACATAACCAACGCCCCGTGAAGATCCGGGGTAGAATACGACTAACGTGATCGGGTGGTCAGACTCGCTGACTTGTTTGACACATGTCATTGTCTCCAAATTGCGTGGATCTATGATCATGATGTCATCAGTGGATCGTCTGGTCCAGACTCGATTATTTACAGACCGCCGTCATACAGCTGGAATATTGCTTAGTGTGGCGTTAAACAACAATCCAACCAACCACAGCATTATCCAACATAGTATCCCAAAATGACCGCCCTTAAAGGTATATTTCCCCAACAGCAATTCAAAATGTAAAACTAATGATGATAGTGAGTGAGTGAGTGAGTTTGGTTTTACGCCGCTTTTAGCAATATTCCAGCAATATCACGGCGGGGGACACCATAAATGGGCTTCACACATTGTACCCATGTCGGGATTCGAACCCGGGTCTACGGCGTGACGAGCGAACGCTTTAACCACTAGGCTACCCGACCGCCCCACTGATGATGATAAATAATACGTGGTACATGTAGTAGTTATAAGATGTATCGAAATAGGCTGCATTGAAGGAATAGTTTTGATTTTTCTTGTAGAAATATATTAATGTCGGAATATTATGAAGAAAATATTACTTGTTTTTAGTAATCTGATCGACGGAAGGCTCTTCATGGGTAATTTATACTGAGATATACTTTGCAAGACAGTAAAAGTAATAGATTGAGCATCTGATGTAGTGTTTAGGAAGATCTGGCGCCACAATATCGAGCTGAACAGCGAGTCTAGCGTCTTGTCATTTATACTTTTCTTCATGCAGTGGTTGACTGACACGTGGTTAGAAGAAGGCTTTGATATTCGGAAAAAAAGATGACTGCAGTGATTATTCAATTTGGTAGGATGTTTTAGTCTGAAGCTTGTTTAGTAACTGTATTGGAGATTTAATGGAACACACTTCCATGTATACTCTAGTATAAAGCTCGACTAGATATGTGCTTCCACCATGAATAAAAAACAAGGTCGTTAACATGATACATGTAATACCTAAATACAATATGCGCAAACACTGACGAAGCAGACTTTGTGACTAGCTTAGCACTAGCAGTATCCAGCGCCGGCCACAAAAAACAGGTTTCCAAGGAAATGAAATCAACGTTCTTTACGAAGTCATTTGTCACGTTTTGTAATCACGTTAATACCAGCTTAGATTAGTAAAGTGGGAAGACACTCATTCAAAAACCAAAAGACGTAACATAAATTACATTTACTTTTTCGAATCCCATTCCTAAACCACCAATCCCTCCGTACAGTCCTCCCACCCCATCCGAAAAGACCTCCCATTCCGTAGCCCCCGCACAGACCACAGATTCCGTAGCCTCCGTATAGACCACCCATTCCGTAGCCTCCGTATAAACCACTCATTCCGTAGCCTCCGTACAGACCTCCCATTCCGTAGCCTCCGTATAGACCACCCATTCCGTAGCCTCCGTACAGTCCTCCCATTCCGTAGCCTCCGTAAAGACCTCCCATACCGCAGCCTCCGTATAGACCACCCATTCCGTAGCCTCCGCACATACCACCCATTCCGTAGCCTCCGTATAGACCACCCATTCCGTAGCCTCCGTATAGACCACTCATTCCGTAGCCTCCGTACAGACCTCCCATTCCGTAGCCTCCGTATAGACCACCCATTCCGTAACCCCCGCACGAACATGTACCATAGCTCAAAGGTGCCACGTTCACCGGCGGGGCAGAACACTCTCACCTTTTTGCAAACACCTGGTGTCAGCACTATTAAGTTTGATAGTCATTCATAAACACATGCTTATGATATCGTCGGAATAGTACAATCAACTTCTCCACCCCCCACCCAACCGTTGATGAATATATGACAAACCAATCAACTTCAAGTACTTCTCTAAAAGTATACTAACGATACAGTTAAATGTATAAACTGCATAATACCTTAAGTCCCGATTAGTGTTGAATAGTGTTGGACTATATATTTCTTACAATTATTTTTCCATCAGATTGATTCAGAATTGATAAGAAGTTCAAAAGGGTATAAAACATCACAGTACACTAATTATGCCAGTATTAGAAGCCAAAAAATATACATTGACTTTCGTTTCCTTGCAATACTATCATATTCAGTCAGTGGGTGCTGAAATATAGTCTACAAATGTTTGGAATTTGTTATCATGATACAATAAATGGAAAATAGAAAATTGATAGTTCGAGTTTGCTCCACATTATATGCGATATATGACCAGGAAATGGGAGTCACTCAGGGCAGTATTTTATCAGTGACACTTCGTAGCATAAAAATCAGCGGTCTTTCTAAAGTTTCAAATGAAATTATCAATGGTTCGTTATTTGTTGATGATTTCAATATATCATGCCGTGGTGCAAATATGAATACCATTGAGAGACAGTTTCAAGTTTCTGTCATTAAAATCCATAAATGGTCTCTAGAAACGGTTTTACTGTTTTCCAAAACTAATACCTGTTGTTTTCATTTTTGCAATAAACGGAAATTACATACAGATCCAAAACTGACTTTAAATAATATTCCAATTAAAGTGGTCAAAGAAACCAAGGTTTTGGGCATTACATCTGAGTTTTACCTCAGATTTTAAAAAGTCCTAAAGCAAAATGTTTGAAAGTACTTGCTATTCTTATGGTGATATCAAATGCTAAGAGGGATGGAGATATAGAGAAACACTGCATTTTTAAAGAACTTTGATCAGGTCTAAACGTTATTATGGTTGCTTCATTAACGGTACTTCATCAAGTATATAATATATCCGAGAACTTGACACGATTCAACATCAGGGACTTCGGTTGTGTCTTGGAGTATTTAAACATCACCAATTGACAGTGGGCTTGTCTTAATCTGAGACGAATAAAACTGGCTTTACAATACATCACAAAACCTCACTCCAATCCATCTAATCCAATATCCTGTCCTCCATTTCAGCATTTGTATGACAGAAAACCAAACAAAATTCAACCACTTGGCATTCGCATGCAATCCCACATCAAAGATGCATATTTAAATCTTTCTGCTATTGCCGAATTCTTTCTGCTATTGCCGAATATAAAATAACGGGGTGTAGGTTGTAGGCTGCACAGTCATGTTGGCATCAGTGGCAACTGTAAAGTCGATGCCTCGACAAAAGCTGCTCTTCAACACAAACTTCCCGTATTCTGATAAGAAACATTCTATTAGAAATTGTGAGTAAACTACATGCCATCTGGCCAATTCTGGTGTATATCGCCATGATGGAGTTGTGTTACGGCGATGCCGAATTGAACACAGTCATTATACACATTAATTTTTATTGAAATGTGAAGATGCATCTTTTTGAATCCCTTGCAACACAATTTGCTTGAATGTGTTGATTTGTGCGTCAGACAACGCTGTAATGATAATGTTCATGCTTTTTCTGAACGTTTGAGAACAGTGTCTAACCACTTGAGTTCAGCATTTAAAAAGGAAACCAACCTTTATGATAAAATATCAGTCTTAATTTCATCAATGCGCTTTGTTACCTCAGAATGTGATACATGACTGAGATTTGAGTATATCAAACATCACTCATGCATGTATACATGTAGTTCAGACAATACTTTAGTGGTAAATATAAATGTTAATGTAAAGAATGTAACGTAACAAGGGTACTTGATTTATTCAAAATGTACATTTGAACCACAAAACGTAATAACTGATATCTTTCATGAATGAAAGAGCAAAGTTCACAATTTGAATCTAGTACATTACCGTTTGTATTTGCCATCGTTCATAATCTGCCTTTTAATGGATGTATTGTTTAATGTTAGACTTGTCTTTGCTCAGCACATTTAATGTCAGCTATGAACTAAATATGCTGACTGTACACACAGAAAGAGGCAGGATAGTATTCGGAGGGTAAATATGATACGTAGTATCAAGTTTAGTGTTCATGTTACACATCTTAAAGTTTAATATTGTGCATAACGTAGAATTAGTCCCTTTGTATTTAATTAGCATTCAAAACCGGAGCAGAGCTTCTAAAACGTTCAATGGTTGGTAGACATGTGGAGTGAAAGTGAAATCCACTGACACAATGATATTTATATTATCATTTACAAATCTGAACGCTGCATCGTCTAGCGCAGTAGTCTGTCGTAGAATAACCTGACATTGCGTCTAACTGCAATCAGTAGGCCTTTTGTGTCGCCACATCTAACAATGGGGACATTAATTTGGCTGCGGGGGATGGGAATGACATTTACACATCAAAGGACACTACGATGTCCTTACCAGACTATTTTAGTCATATGTGTGTTATCAAATCAATACATTATGTTTTCAAAATGTATTCTTTTGTCTGCTACCATGAAGTCTTCTTTGATTAGTGCATGGACGAGTTTCACAAATGTAACGTTAAATCTGCATTAAGGGTAATTGAAGTTTCATGAATTCAATCAAAATTGGCCATTAGATACATGCCTGGATCTGACATCATGGAAATATTTATGTACATGTACATGTCTGTCTCGCACAAGAAAACGTAAGTGGAACCAATCTTGGGTAGACGAATGGACGTTGTTTCTGAGTATGTTTTGTCACACAACTTGTTCCCACAGACAAGGCCTTTAATAACATAACCATTACATGTAATCATCACTACATTAATTGTTTGATCAAAGAACTTGATATAAGTGACATGTCACATAACGTCACACAAAAGGTCAGTTAGTTAACTGAGGAAGGAGTCTGCCAAGTATCAGTACTATAAACTTTTGACTTGATTCTAAAACCAGAAGACGTCTCCATTCATCTTTTGTATTTGATTAAGAAAAACTCCACAAACATAAAAAAGGGATACATATTGCTGGGTCTATAGCTAGTAATATGTACCACCAAATACCTGTTTCAGAGATTAACCATAAACCTTAATACAATCAAGGATGGACTTTCTATATATTCACAGAAGGTATTTGAGACAAGTAGAATTAATAATTAATTAATTTAACTTTGTACACCACTATCTCACATGACAAACTTCAGGAAAAACTTCACTGCTCGACCCATGGGGCTCTTGTTACAAACGTGGTGACCATAGGTATAGTGACATATCTATCTCAGTGATTCAGGTTAATTTGTCACAAATGAAAGCAAATGCCATCTGAAGTTTACTCAGAAAGCAATATGTGAAATGCTGGACTTCCTCATTGACATCATCTATATACATTATTGAAGAAAGACATTTAGGCAAGAAGAAGGCGTCTCCATAGGTACCAGTTGTTTTCTCCTTCCTGCTGATCTGTTTCTTCATGCACATGAATCGGTATTTCAGCTCGGATTGGCAAAGTCAAATTAAGTACGTTGAAGTTAAGCTTCAGGTTTTTCGATTATCTGATATCGTTCAATAACCAACAAATAGTCAATTCCCTTCCACGGATTTAGCCTCCTGAACTAGAAATAAAGGAGACCAGTGAGATCGCCTCATATGTCCCATATTCAGATCTATGTATAAAGATTCGGAGTGGAAAAAGCTATCCACAAGACGTAAACTTTGTCTTTATGTCGAACAATACTCCACCAGCTCCAGCTTTTGGTGTCAACATTTCACAACTTTTGAAGCACAATCAAGCAAGCTCTTTCTTCGAAGATTTCAAAGAGAGCAAAACTAGTCTTGCTCAAAAGTTATCATGATTACAATAGTCAGGGCCTCGGTAAAGCTTTCAAAATGCGTTTATGGCTGGTTATTACTTTGTCCTGCTAAAACTTCATTTTTTCGCGGCATCTTTAGTGGTCTATTTCGAAATCTATTTCGGAAAGTAGACACATCATCTCGTAAATTCAAATCTGATTGATCATTAAGCCATTGCTCTTTCAGATGATTCAGTGGCCCCTAGCCGTGTGTCGAAAGGACTGACCCCTAATGATTCCTGAAATGTCCTCAAAGCTGCAAACAACAATAAATGAATGCCTTTATCTCACTCCTCACTTTCAAAGCAGTAAATCAAGATCATATTTGTAAGAGTATGATCAAATCTCTCTTCATGAGACTGAACTACTTTGGGTGAGAAAACCGTGGTGAAACAAAACCTCTCCACAAGACTGTATGACAAGAGGGACTTCACATTTTCCTTTTTGTCAAGGCATATTCCTTCAGCTCCAATTTAGTGTTTACATTTGACAACGTTACAGGAACAATCGAGCATGCCCTTTCTTCCAAAGTTTCAAAGAGCATACATGTACGACTCTCTTTCATTGTTTTTAAAAATAAAACTTACAACTTTCAAGGCCTCAGTAAAGCTTTCAAAAAAGTTTTATGGTAGAAATGAGGAGGACATTTCCAAATTTGACGCATCCGTTATAAAAATGTTCGATGCTGTCTCTATTTTGACTTGTACCATATGTTTCCGTGTTTTTGTCAGGTGAACATTTGTATTTGGGTGCCACCTTTAGGGCAGGTTCACCCTTTGGCAGATCTTTTGTATAACCTTGGAAAGGGTTTTATCGCTTTTCTTCAATTAGATATATCTTATTTAATTGTGCTCAGCGATACAAAAAAACCATTATACAGGAAGAGTGATATTCACTCCCGTACTCCTCTATTTATAACATTTGCTTCCAGCCTGTATTACAGCACTTTTAGCTTGTTCTCGGCCGCCTCCGTGGTCTAGTGGTAGAGCGT